CTTCTCAGTTATTATTGGGTTGTGATCAATAACTGGACATTTTGGGGATTTGTTCCAATAGTAATACATTAGAGACCAAGCAAATTATTAAGGTAAAAATAATTCATCAGTTTAATGATAAATGGCAGATCTAAATGAAACACTACTTTAGACTTTTAAATGGTCACTACAGCTCGTGTTGTAACAGGTGACACCATAAATGTTCATGCTTTCATTTATTATTATTTTGGTGTTTTTTTTCTTTGCATCATTGACAGTCTGGGCGCAGGATGACCTTTTAAAGTTGCTGGAGGCCATGAAAGTGGCCCTTCCTCAGAAAGACCTGACGAAATACAAAACATCAGAGTCCCACCTCGACTGGCAGAAGGTGGCCTTCAACACCTACACAGCAGAGATGTGTAGGCAGAAGTGGCTGGAAGTCTCTAAAGAGGTGAGCTGATTAAATTAATGTTCACATTGATTTATTTTTGATGTGGTGTGATTTCTTAATTGCTGTAAGTCAAGTTTAGTGCTCAGTTAAGTTAATGTTGGTTTCATTTTTCTGCTTTATCCACAGATTCGTAAATTCAGGACTCTGACAGAACTGATTGTTGATGCTCAAGACTACATCAAGAACCCTTACAAGGGCAAGAAAATAAAGGTGAGTTAAAACATATTTTGCTCGACTAATGACAATGAGCAACTCGCAGTTTAAGTATATAACTCGGAATTTTCTAACCATGATATACAGAAACATCCAGATTTCCCCAAGAAGCCCTTGACTCCATACTTCCGCTTCTTCATGGAAAAGAGGGCCAAATACGCAAAGCTGCACCCTGAGATGAGCAATCTAGATCTCACTAAAATCCTCTCAAAGAAGTACAGAGAGTTACCTGACAAAAAGAAGGTAAGTTAAAAGCCACGGTGAATAACTTTGACTGTGGTACCGTGTAAAATAAATCTAATGAAAATGTTATTTTCTTCAGAAAAAATACGTCGAAGACTTCTTAAGAGACAAAGAAACGTTTGTGGGCAGTATGATGAAGTTCAGGTGGGATTACTTGTCCTCATTATTATGCAGCATCAACATTGGTGATATTATCTCTAGCATATGTAATGATTATAATTGTGCTTCAATGCTGCCTTATGATGTGTAATTGCAGGGAAGATCACCCAGACCTTGTGGAGAGCATGGCCAAGAAAGGTTCAAATGTTCCAGAGAAGCCCAAGACGCCTCAACAGCTGTGGTACAACCATGAAAAGAAGGCCTTCCTCAAAACACGCCCAGATGTAAGCTTTGCCATCTACAATGCACAGAAAACAGCCTCTTGAACTATGACCTTTGGGTTCTACAGATGTTAATTTTCTCTGTTTGACACCAGGCGACCACCAAAGACATTAAGGATGGTCTAGGCAAACAGTGGACGCAACTGTCCGACAAAAAAAGGCTGAAATGGATCTCAAAGTCTCTGGAGCAGCAGAAACTGTACGAGGTGAGACCACGTAAATGGTGATGTGTTATCAACCTCTTACGATGATGACAAAGTGTCTGTAGAAGCATTTTTGTCCATTTTAACATTTTTTGTCCTTTTAAAATTCTAGCATACAATGCGGGAGTACATCCAGCAGCACCCGGAACTAAACATGGTTCAGGGGGATTATGTGAAGTCCACCTTGACGAAGGCTGAGAGGCACCTAAAGGACAAATCTGATGGCCGACCTGACAAACCACCACCGTGAGTTGTAGTTAAAGGTACACGCATCAAGATGATCCTGTTCTTGACAGTTATTTATATCAAACTGTGTGCATGCTTTATAGAAATGGTTACTCGATGTTCTGCGCCGAGTTGATGTCGAGCATGAAGGACGTACCCAGCACGGAGCGCATGGTGATGTGCAGCCAGCGGTGGAAGCTGCTCAAACAGAACGAGAAGGACGCTTATCAGAAACGCTGTGAACAGGTTGGTTCAGAATCAATCATGGCATTATATTAGAAAAGAGGTCAATCAGCTTAATCTTAATCTGTTCTTTTTGTTTTTTTCAGAGAAAGAAAGAGTATGAAATTGAGATGAACAGATTTCTCAGTGTAAGTCTCACTTTTTGTCTTTCATGTTTTTCTGTTCTGAATTTTTTGACAATTATAGTTTGTGCTTTTTTGTTGTAAGAGTTTCGTGTTTATATTTTCTCTGGTTTGTGGTCACTTGTAGAGTTTGTCAGTGGAGGAGCAGCAGCGGGTCTTGGGCGAGGATAAGTTTGGTTTAAGGAAGGGCAGCGGAGCCAGCAGTCCTGCCTCCAAAAAGAAAAATGCTAAAGCAAAGGTATGAATTTGTACACAGCAACATCCACCCAGTGTGTACGAGAATCTTTGTTTTTATTACATTTTGTAGATGTTGTAGTATATTTCTCTGATATTGTTTTGCTTAATATCTGTAGGCCAGCCCAGAGAAACCCAAAAGGCCCATTTCCGCCATGTTCATCTTCTCTGAGGAAAAACGGCCCAAGCTACAGCAAGAGCGACCAGACCTCTCTGACAGTGAACTCACAAGACTGTTGGCACGCATGTGGAATGAACTGCCGGATAAGAAGAAGGTAAACAATATACTGCAGAAGAAATGCCACGCCAGTAGAGTCAAATCATACTGATTGGTGATGTAATAACATTTTCCAGTATTTTTAAAAAATGATCTTGTTGCCTTGATTATTCAGGAAAAGTACAAACGCCTGGAGACGGTCCTAAAGGCAGAGTCAGAGAAGAAGGAGAAGGAAGATCGTAGTCGTTTGCCAGACCCACCTAAGACTGCTCAGGACATCTGGCAACAGAGTGTCATAGGAGACTATCTGGCTAGATTTAAGGTAGGCATGACTCCTGGTTTCCGGAAATAAATCTGGTAGCTTTGTTTTGTCCATCATGTGATACTAAAGTGTTAAGGTTTTTCAATGTCAATTTTCCATTTTAGAATTTTCAATGTTTGGATATATCATTAATATTGAGACTAGCAGAATGCAAAGCAGTCATACTCCAACAAATAATTAACTAGGAGGGCGTACACCTCAATGCCTTTTCTCACAATGTTTAAAGAAAGTAAAAAACTGTTTGTGCTTACACACCCTTTTCTTTTAATACTGCTAACAAACCAGTGAAAAAAATAACTTCATGGCAGAGCTAACTACAGGTTTATAATTCTGTAACAACTTCTGCATGTAGATGTACATATACACGTGTATATCTTCTCTTGCAGAGTGACCGACCAAAGGCTCAGAAAGCAATGGAAGCAACCTGGAGCACCATGGAGAAAAAAGAGAAGATTATGTGGATCAAAAAGGCAGCAGAGGATCAGAAAAGATATGAGGTATCATCACTGTTCAGCAGGACTCCTTAACATTCATATACAATTCCACTGAGAGCCAACCAGTGACTGATCTCGCTTTAACAGAGAGACCTGTGTGAGATGCGCTCACCTGCTGCTGCCGCCATTGCCTCAGGGAAGAAAATAAAGTTTGAGGGTGAACCCAAGAAACCACCATCGTAAGTGTCACACCCGTTGCATCCACGCTATCTATTGCATCGTTACAGAAACGCTGACATTTTAGATTGTTTTTTCCCCCATTGCTTTTGACTCTAGAAACGGATATCAGAAGTTCTCTCAGGAGATGTTGTCCAACGGAGAGCTGAATCACCTCCCGATGAAAGAGAGGATGACTGAGATCGGCAGCCGCTGGCAGAGGTTATCACTGAAGGACAAGGACCGCTACAAGAAGATTGCTGAGGAAAAGCAGAGGCAGTATAAAGTCCAGCTGGAACAGTGGCTTGCGGTAAGGACTGATGTTCAGGGTTTGTTTAAGTCAATTATCCACAAAACATTATTTGTTTAACACACACTTCTATCCTCCTGCAGAGCTTGACCTCTCAAGAGAGGAACACCTACAAAGAATATACTTCACAAGTAAGTCAGTTATTTTACTGTCACATACAAGATCTGAAAATTTACACCACCGTACTTCTATAAACATCCCCGCTCTTGTAGCTTTCTTTGACACGGTTTACCTTTGACCTTTCAGAAAAGGAGAACAACGGCAAAACCAGGAGGCCCCAAAGCAAAGTTCAAGAAATCTGTGAGTGTAGACTCTGATTCATCTGTCTCCATCCATCAGACTCATAAATAAGTTGTATGTGAATGATTAGCCACATCTGATAAATGTGTCTTCTCACAGGACACTGAGGAGGAGGAGGAGGAGGATGAAGATGATGAGGATGAGCAGGAGAAGGCTTCCTCCGACGCAGACTCATCCAGTGAGGATGACGAAGACGACGACGACGATGACGAGGATGTGAGTGAGATTTCTTCTTTGTCGCACACAGTGGAAATGACTTGATCTTGAATGTGCTTAATTATATTTTTTGTTCCAATTTCGAAGAAGGAGGACGATGAAGACGATGAGGCGGAGGACAAGGAGAACAAGTCAGATGACAGCAGCAGTGAGTCAAATTCACAGGCGTCTTCAGACTCTGATTCAGACTGAAATGGGCCACCGTCGTCGCAGAGACGAACTGAGCAGCGCTGAGCTGAGCCAAGAGTCCGGGGAGCTCTGCCATTGTGCCAACCCTGCTCTCCTCCCACCACCAGAGGGAGCCCCTGCATTGCCTCATCCATTTCACATTCGCCCAGTTTTTGTTGCCGCGTCAGTGATCTGTACTCACGGAGGGACCCTGCCCTTATGTCCAATATCAGTTTTGTTCCCTCCCCGCTGTGATGGTCATCTCACAGAACGGGCCGTTGACAACAGCATCCCACTGGTTTGGGGATGTCGCTGGCTGCTGGTTTCAATCTTGATTCACAGGTTCAGTGGTTTAAGTTTGAGTTTTAACATCCCTCCAGTGTTTCTTCTCTTATTCCGGCAATTAGTTAACGACAGATGGCATGAGTTGTCAACTGGCTTCATGGAGCCAAAGAATCTAGTAAGGGGGATCACTTTAGGGAGGGGGGTGTGCGGGGCACTGAAAAATTGCACTCTTCAGAATGTTTCCTTTTAATGTTTTTTTTCCAGAATATTGTTGCTTTTTTCTCTATTCTCAATTTGTGATGTAGATTTTATCATTTGGTTCTTAAAGAGGTGGTATTTGTTCAGGAAAAAAACCAAGCCATTATGAATGTCTTTTTTTTTTTTTTTTTTTTTTTCATTTGAAATAAGCAGTGCCTATAAAATGTTCACTCCCCTTGAGTTTTTCATGTTTTATTGTTGCTAACGTGGGTGTAATGAGGCTTTTTGACTAAACCTTAACACGTTTTAATAGAACATTTATTTGCTGCAGTTGTGGCTCCGCCTGGCTGGGATGTCAGGTTTAGTGTGAAGTGCAGCAAACATTTTAACAAAGCTGAAACTGACTGACTCACTTTGTGACAGCAACAAGCTAATAGGAGACTTTCTTGTAATATCACAAGGAGATGATCTCAGATACAAAACACAAAATCAATTACATATATAATACTTTTCTTCAATATTTACAATAAAAACAGTGAATAGCAGTTTCAGTTTTGTCCCTTTTACTGTTACACCCAACTGAGCACATTTACAGCAGTGCCATATCCATAAATTCTTATTTTTGAATCATTGGTTGACCTTACTGTGGCCTGCGGGCTCTTCCGTCCCTTGAAATTCTTGCATCCATCCCCTGAGTTGTTGTTTTAATTAAACTGATTGATTTTTAATGTTTTTATCAGATAATTAACTATTAAACTGTTGGAGCTTCTACGTACAGATGTGTTAACTGACAGTTTACACCTTGTTACACATTGAAGTGATCTCCATTCAACTTTTGTGTTTTAAAACAAATGAATTTGTACTAATTACTAAATTGGTTGAATGAATTTTATATAACCACTTTACTCTAAGTTATAAAGATTGTTTTCATGTCACTGGTGTCAAAAAGCCTTTTTGCATCCGCTGCGTTTCAGTGTTTAGAAAACAAAAAGTCTCTGGTGGTGGGAAATTTTTGTAGGCACTACAGGATCCGTTGCCATGTTTCCATCAATGAAAGTGTTATTTGTCATCACGCACACATTCTCGAGTCAATCTTCGTTAATTCAGTTTGTTCTGCTAGTGACAAACAGTGTTCAGTGTTTGCAGTTTGTCACTAATGCTCATTTTCCATATTTAAAGCTCAATCTGACCATTTTTAAAGACTTTGTCATACAGTTGGTGTGTGTTTCTTCTCTGTACCATCGTTTTACATTTCATTTACAGTTTTTATGAACTGTCAATAAGTTTATTTTAATTGTGAGCAGTTGTTTTCTGATTCATCTGGATTTTTGTTGTGGATGTTCAGCTTTGTGGTTCCATCTCTTTTTCTTTTTTTTGAAATTGTAATGGTATTGACTGCGATCCAATCTGGATTTAAGTCTAATGCTTTTCCCAAAAAAAGTGTGCACTTAATGTAAATCTGTCCCTCTGTGTGAGTTTGTGTGCATGCATGCACATAACTGTATATATGAGGGTGTATTTGTGTTTAGTTTTTTTTGTTTTAATGTTTGCTTTTTTTGCTGTTATGTTGCATACCATGATGTGACTGCAGCATGCATGTATGTGCCTGTGTGGGGACGTCATACCAACACCATGAATGTAGATATTGTTAAATCTTTTTCATTTTTTCTCTCTCCAAAGTTCTTCAGTAATTCTTCGTCTCGGCACCGTCGTGTCATTTGTTACCTGAAAACGGACAAATACTGTCATTTAAGCTTTGCAGACAGATGAGTACATGGCAACTATTGATAATCTGTTAGTAATAGACTGATTTTGACCATTATGAATCTCATCAAAAACTGAAATAAAACCAGCGTGGGCTATTTAAATAACTTGTGGGAGGTAAAAGGAAAGTGATTGCTGATATCGATTGATGGGAGTTTGTAAAAGGGATTTGGGGAGAAAATGAGTTGCCAGTGGAATTTGGGTAAACAACAAAAAAACGAAAAAAACTTGTAATTTTTTGTAAATACTGTTTTTGTATTGAGTGCTTATTGTTTTGTTAGGTCTTTAATTTGGCAAACCCTCATCTGTGACTTCTGGGGCCAGTGGGCCTTTCACTCACGGGGGAGAACTTTTGGTTGAATTCACCTGTTTTAGTTGTTTCTTCTCTCCCTTCTGTTGGTTTATAGAAATATCTAAGACTGCAAAGCTTTACAAGTTTGTACTGCTGACCATTTGACAAAATTTGATGTTTTCTATAGCTGAGGGTGCTCTCATGTCCTTGTAGTTCAAGTATTTGGGCAAATAAAAAAATATCTTTAACAATTAGAGAAGTGTGTTCTGTTAAAATAAGCAGACATAATGCAGATCAATACTGATGTGCTGAATGAAAAACCATGTAAATTAATTTGTAATAATTTTAAGGTTCGGACTGTTGGTTAGATGAAGCTTTAAGAACATATTTGACAAACCATACAAGTAATTAACCAAGGAAACAATCAATTTGAGATTTGAGGGTTTCAGTCACAAGCACTATTTTCTGCAGTGAGTATTTTCACTTGCATGTTATTACTATAGTAATATATTGAATGCAGGTATATATTGGTACTTTTACTAACATGCTTTTACCTAGGTTATATTTGGTATTCAGGTATTTTACTAGTGCTCTCAGTTATAGGCTATTACTGAAGTTTGAATTTGTTTATTAATAAAATTTTAATGCAGCTATTTTATTAGTACTTTTACTCACAGTAATTTTTTGTATGCAGCTATTTATATTTTAAATTAAATCCCTTCACTAAAGTATTATTTTTAAATGCAGGGATTTTATTGGTACTTTCACTTACATGCTTTTACTAAAGTAATCTTTTGAATTCAGGTATTTATTAGTACTTTTACTTGCATGCTTTACACAAGTAATATTTTTCTGCAGCATCATTTTCAATGCAGGATTCAGGGTCAGGGCTTTTATTTTGGTACATTTACGTACTTCCCCTCACTGACAGACCTTCCGCTCGAATGCGAGTCTTTTATTTCTAAAACAAACCGGAAGCTGGTGGTTGTGCGTCGGTGTTTGTTTCCGCTCCGGTGGCCTCCTCCTCTTCCTCCTCCTCCTCTTCTTCGCCAGGCGGCTTTTTACCGTCATTTTAACCGTCACCTGCGACAACAGCCTTTGTATCTGACTGACATTTGAATTTGACGGGGCACATGAAGATGGCTGCAGCTGAACAGCAGCGTCGTGTCGGCGTGTTTTGTGTGAGTGCCTCGGTCTTGTTGTCTGCCTCATTGAAACTGCCTGCTTCAGGCTGAGTTTCCAGGGTAAGAGGAAACTGGGGTTCGGAGTGAAAGGGAAAATACAACATCTCTACTCTTACTACATTTCACCTGTGTTTTTCTCCACACGATCGTTTCCTTCACATCAAAGTAGTGGACTAGCTTGGCTAGCTAGCAAATGCTCTAACCATAAAGTAAGCAGAGTGCTAACAAACTGACACCAACGTTATCTGCATTACATGCTCTTCTATTAAGGTTAGCTCGTGCTACAGTTCACACACTGTATTTGTCATTTGTAAATCGTGGGCTAGCTTGTTCGCTGTGTTTGTATCGTGTAAATAAGTACGCATGTTATCCCAGATCACACCTGACGCATTGAGCGGTTCTGTCTCCTGCCATGATTGATCCAGATCGCTCTGAAGTTGGTTCGAGGTGGAATCAATGATGTAATTAAATGCAGATTTTAATGGCCTCCGTGTCACGTGACCCACTGACTCCAAATCATACCAGATGTTATTGCTGCACTACACAAACAGGACACACCCCTTTTTTATTTGATTTTAGAACTTCTGATATTTTATATGAATATTTAAATATGGGGCCCACTGACTCCAAACCAAAGCTGAATTGTATTATTACATATCCACTCGTTTTATATGATATTAGGGATTCTTACATATTACATTTAAGAGATTGTTTGGGTAGCTACCAGGTCATGTGACCAACTGACTTCAAACAAATGCCAAGTTAACTTACTTCCCAAGACAAGAGGACACACAACTCTCTGGTAGAATGAAGTGGTTTTCATATTTTAAATGACTGCTAATATTTTAAAGAATTTTCAATAACTCACCTGTCATGTGAAAAGTAACTAAATTCACTGCAGTTTAATAGATTTATCTGCTACAATATTGACAATCCATCAATCATTTTTGTTAGGAAGATATTCCCAACATGACTTTAGCTCGAATATGTTCCTATTCTCTTTGTGTACTTGAGTTTTGAACTCGGCTGGAGCTTTGAGAACTTGGGGATTTTGATTTTGTGATATTTGCGTACAATTTATTGATTACAATCAATTGACAAATCAAGAAAATAAGTAGTAGACTCATAAACCAGCTCAAGGCCCAATATCTGACAATTATTTTCTCTGTTCAACAGAATGAAGGCAGATCCACAAACATTGATAGCCATTTTTAAAGTAAGTATTCTCCAATCAAGTTTTCATCAACTGGGTCCTTGACAATAGATTTTGGTATATGTATCTTTGACCATATCATGACTTGTAAGTTTGTTTTCTATGTTCTAAATCCACAGGTCAGCATCTTATTACCTTGCTATCAAGATTTCCAACACAGATTTTCAAATGAAAATGGAGGATATGCCCCTGTCAGGCCCAGACAACACCAAGCTGGAGGTGAGGCACTGATGATAGTGTGTGTCTGTCGCTGGCAGCTTTCTTAATTGCATCTTTTAAACAACTTCACACAGATTACCTGTTACAGAAACAAACAGGATATATTGAGTTAGGGAGTCAGACAGTCTACTGTGTAAGTATGTAGGGTCTGGGTTAAGAAATCTGTGCATAAAGTTTAGAACATGTCCTGTCAGATTCATGTGTTCGCAAGATTTCAATTGCAAGTAAAAAAGCACAATAAATACATTAATCATTAATGAAAGCTAGTTCTGGCATGTGTCCTCATAGTGTATATCTTCTTTTTTCCTCATGTCAAGTAACATGTAATACAGCAATATTTGAAGGTTTCTTTAGAACCACTCCAAAACCTTCACAGTCCCCTTCAGACAACCATGTTTACAATTAGATGTGATTTTGTCATTCTTTCTTTAAAACATCACGCTTTTTACGTTTTTTTAATCCATCATGATGTTTGTATTGATGTCAAATGTCTAACGATATATTCATGTTGTAGGCCTTGGTCCATGACATCTACTCTGAGCTGGTGGAAGATGCTTGTTTGGGCCTGTGTTTTGAAGTACATCGTGCTGTGAAACAGGGCTACTTCTTCATGGATGAAACAGACCAAGAGAGCATGAAGGAGTTTGGTTAGTGCCACGTATTCAAACGTTGTATGTATTTAAGAATTTTAAAACTTAATGTATTAGCCCATGACATTTTTTTGTGTATAAGATACTGTGGAGTAAAGGCATCCTTAAAATGAAGTCGTACTCCCTCCCTCCCAATGATCATAAGAGTAGATGGTGCCAACTGCGAATGGCAGTGAGCATAATATGACACCTGAGTAGACACATTCATTTTTGCTTTTTCGTACTGAAACGTCTGTCACAGACAATCACTGTCACAACAGTTAAAAAAGAAACGGCTCATTCTTATGAGTCTATGGGCTTCACACAGCACCGCTCAGATATGCACAGTGTACTACCCACGCCAACTAGCTGTTAATTGTTAATAATAAAAGTGTGCCCCTGAAGCTTTTTTCTTCAGGCTGTCGCTCATTCTGGCAACCTCGAAACAAGTTAACAAGAAAGATATTATCAGAGCAAAGCTTCTCACACAGAGGCACAGATTCTGAAAGGAGCACCAACAGGATCAGTTTTACCAGTCTGTATGTCAGCTGAGGAGTTTTTAACCCTCCTTTACACATCCAGGTCATGGAATATCCAAGTGCTAAAAAAACAGGTCAACTCAACCAAGTCCATTTGACCTGTTCCCTCCTTAACACAGGCTAACTTTATTCAGCTGTACTTCCTTATGTGTTTTTAGTGGCTTCCCAGCAAAGACTGTAAAGGCAACACTACGCTGCAAACTTCAGACTGTATATAAAGACGGCTTTCCAGAAATGAAGCTCAAATATCCCTGATACAAAAACTGCCATCTTGTGCATTTGGAGCCAGTCTGCACAGTAGTGATCGGGGATGGATCCACTGTGTCAAGGTCCCTTTGATGATTACGCTCGACCAATCATGAGTCAGTCTCAGCTGTCAATCATGATGTTTCACCCCATTTCTATAGCACCAAATAACTAGATAAAAGCAAACTTACTGGAAAAATCAGTGTGATAAGAACTAACTAAACTGACAGAAATAATATTTGAGAAAAATGTATTTGAGGGAGCAGTTATGTCGTACATCTTTATATTCAGTTTATGCTGTGAACACAAAGCATTTGTTTAGGTCAGAGATCCAGGAGCTGGTGCGACATCTAGTGAATGTTGTGTGTATATAAACCTTTAAGTCATTTTTTTTCTCTTAGGCTGCTCGCTTGTCTTTGCCGTGTTTGTTTACAGTCTGCTGTTTCTTCTCTTGTAGAAATTGTGGACCAACCAGGAGTGGACATATTTGGGCAGGTTTACAACCAGTGGAAGAACAAAGAGTGTGAGTGTCCAAACTGCAAAAGACTGATAGCAGCTTCTCGCTTCGCTCCACACTTGGAGAAATGTCTCGGCATGGGACGCAACAGCAGTCGAATCGCCAGCCGCAGGTCGGTCAGTAAAGGGCTTATAGTTTAGCATTGATTCCAAATATGTGTGACGATCTAATGAAGTTATTCTTTTGCTCTTCATCAGGCTAGCCACTAATAATAATATGAACAAATCAGAGAGTGACCAGGAAGACAATGATGACCTTAATGATAATGACTGGTCGTATGGGGCAGAAAAAAAAGGTAAGCAGCTTGAAATAACTGAAGTTAAATGTAATCTGAAGAAAGATAATTAATAAGGAAAACTCCAGATTTCTTTCTCATAATAACAAAACTTCCTATTTAATTTTTACAGCCAAGAAGAGAAAGTCAGATAAGGTATTTTTGCATTCCTTTTGCCCTTTTTAAATATATACATGTTTTAATGTGTAGAAAGAGGTAATTCAATCTTAATGTTTTTCTATGTGCAGAATCAAAATTCTCCCAGAAGATCCAAATCTCTAAAACACAAAAATGGTGAGTGTATCACATTTTTATTTTCTGGTCCTGTAAAGAGGTTTGGTTCCTGCTGTCACCTGAACATGCAGAGCAGAATTAATTAATGCAATCTAACTCTAACCAAAATCATTTCTCTTTATATATGTCAGTCTAAATACAACACTTTAAAAATGTTTAGCAGAGTAATATTCCATAACATGCAACACCAGATACATTGGCCTACAGTTCAACATTTTAACACTTTAAATTGTGCATGTGGAGCACCAGGTGATCTAGCAGCTTGGTTCCTCCTGCAGTGGCAGTGGGTTCAGTTCTGACCGGGCCCTTTGCTGTGTGCCTTCCCAACTCTCCCTTCCCATTTACTGTCCTATAAATAAAGGTGAAACTACCAAAAATAGTTTTAAAGTGTGCACGTACAGAGGGTTAACACATGTCATTTTTCCAGGTGACCTCGGGAGCAGCCTCACCTCAGAGCCCTACAAGGTAAAAAGTGTTACCTTCAAATGCACAACTTCTTCCATTGTAAACACAATGCACAGTTTGAATAATACTCGTATCTGTTTTTTTAGTATAACTACAACACTGGCATCAGTTATGAAACATTAGGACCTGATGAAGTCAGATCCCTCTTAAAAACAGTAAGCTACTTTTATGAATCCATAAAAATGTTTTCAATTTTTTTGCAAACGTTGATCAGTAAACAAGCGTTTGTCTCCACAGCAATGTGGGGTGATCTCCGAGCACACCAAGAAGATGTGTACCAGGTAATATCTAATCTGCTGGCACATTAATATAGTAATGAAACCTCTCCAATCCGGGAAAAAAAACATATACAGCTTTTTATGTAGCTAATATCTGTAATAGTCCAGCACAGACTCGGGTACTTCAGCATCTTTTCATGTTATTTAATCCAAAACAATCCTGGTACTAAACCACACTGAAATACAGTCTGAAACTGAAGGTCATGGTTGCATGTGAAAGACGTGTATTAATGAAAACAGTCAGGTAGTTTGGACTCAAGGACTGTATATAAAAGTGGACAACATGATGGGTCCCCTAAAGTCTTGGAAAAAGCATCAATTCCACAGAATTTGTTATAAAGACCACGTAGGACCCTGTCAGTGACCAACCTCTAACATTTCACTACCCATAACACCTCGTCATCGCTCTTCCCTATGTCCCCAATCTGCCTACTTCCTTCCCTCCGTGCTGCTGTAGCAAAAGGCGGGCCGACTCGTGAAGCTGTGTGGCGGGCATTGAAGGCCATCAGTCAGGGATGTATAATGCCACCTTGTGTCCTACTAGGTCTCCGCGATGTCCCCAGCACACGGACGAACAGAGGAGGGCCGTCAGGGTGTTCCTCCTTGGGCCGTCCGCGTGAGTGTGCCCCGTCCCCCTCCTCCTCACCCCTCCATCCCCCCGAGTGTTTCTTTACAAAAGTGATTGAATGTGATGTTTTAACCCTCGTGGTGCATGTGCTTGCCTGGTGGTCGGAGTTTTGAAAATAACAAGTGTACGGTGCAGCTAAACTGGCACTGAGTATTCTGTGACCATGTATCCTGAATGAAAGACCATACATTACCACTGGGATCTGCACAATTCAGCCACAAACAGCTGGACTACCTGTGCAGAGAAGAATCATTGAGCTGTGCATTTAGCAGTCAACAGGCTCAGAATCAGATTCTGGTAAATTAGATAACCAGGAACTAATTGAATAAAAAATCTAAATGATGACAAATCCAAATCTTCCTAAAGCTCCTCTGCCATAAATGTTGTTCTTCGATTGTTCCAAAATAACATCCTAACACAAAAAGAAATCAGTCCACGCCATACACCTCCATCTGTACATGATAAGATTGGAGTCACAGTAGAGAGAAAAACTGGATGTTGTCATAATCTGTGTGCTGATCTTATTCCCTCTTAACTGGTTTGTCTACAATATGAAAAATACTGTATCTTAAAGTTTTCAGGCGTCTTAAACTGAAACAACAGTTAAAAATAAAGCAGCAAATTCTTACATTTGCAAGTTGGAACTTTAGTTGCATGTTGCAGCTGAGTGCTCCTCATCTCACCCTCCCCTTCCAAACATGAAAAAGAACCTGTGGTGAACTTTAAACTCAAAAGGGTTTTAGTTTGTCCAGTTTGAATGACAGAGAGGACCCCCCCCCTCCATGTAAAAACATCACTAGGAATATTTTACATTCAGTTTCTGCCAAAAGCTCCTTTCACCTAAATCTTACACACTTGACCTTTAAGCTCTAGAGCTCTATAGTACTTGATTATTCTGAAGTTTAATACACACTGGTCATGTTTTGCTGTAGAAACAAATTTTACTGGACCTTTACTGCTTCTTTACTTTATTTAGGGAAGCCCTGGTTTTTCAAATGTACAGTATATGCATTTACTGTTGGACTTAGATATCGTCTGCACCAGCGTAACTGACTGTTCAAGCCAGATTGATACATCGATCAACATGAGCCTATTACAAATATATTGGTATCGACATTTGTTTGCTTATATTACTTTAATTTTGTATTTATATAATAACAATTTAGAAAAGATGTTAATTAACATTTATGTTTACATCTTACATTACATGATGTTTCTTTACTTAATTCAAGTTCTATACATGTGGCTGTATTTGTGTTTTATTAATGACTGTTAAATATCAAGCCTCAATTAGATTTCTTTGTCATAAGGGTTTGCTGTCATGAACTTTTTCAAATACACATGTATCGGCTGATATGTCGGTATCTGACATTTTTGACTCCCTAACACCGGCACCAAAAATCCATATCAGTCGGACTCTGGTGACATTGTTTGTGTTTCTTGTCGCAGGTCGTTGCTGCCCGATGCAGACGCAGTGGTGGAGAGCGACAACTTTGACCTTCAAGACGGACAGACCCTGATGAACCGCCTGCAGTGGGAAGACTCTCCTGATATCTCACCCACCGACTCTGCCTCATCGAAAGCCAGTAAGGAAATAATGCGCAGTCCACTTGACATCATTTACTGACAAAAATTTAGAGACACGAGATTGATCATTTTCTGTCCCTCTTACAGGCACCAACCATTCAGACTCGAGGAAGCCAAAGAAGAAGAGGACGTCTCTTGGTTTGAACAGTGGAGGAGGAAGTCTGACTGGAGGCTGCAGCAGCAGCAGCAGCAGCTCTCAGAGTAATATCAACTTGTCCACCAAAAAAAAGAGGCCCAAACTATCAGCACCTTCTATTTCAAGTATTTATGACGACTGAAACTAGCAACAGCCTGTTTGTCAGGCCAGTCCCTGCCTTGACTCCTACATTAAACCGTCTGAACAGGATGGGATTAAACATGACTTAGTAGTTGCCTTAACACGTAAGGCTTCTCTATTTAACTGAAGATTCATTCTGTTTTTAGAACACAGTGTTGCTAAAGTTGGGTCAGTCACTTGGTGTCACACTCCAGTCAGAGTATCTGTTGGCGATAAACAGGGAAATTCAACAATGTCGACATTTGCTTTTTTCAGGATTTTTGAACAGTTCTGTCAACACAGACAGCTGCTGTCGCCCGAAGGTGGAAGTCAGGGCTACTTGACATTCGGCACATGCACCAACACCTGGGATTGAATGATTCTTAAAGAAAATTATCAATAAGCTCAGACGTTATTGGTTCTATGGTACTGAGAAATTAAGTAAACAGATTTCCTAATTCTTATTGCAACATAAAAGTTATCCTGCACTTTTATCTCAATAACTCAACTTCTGATTGCAACATTGATCTATGTGAGTGGAGGGGGGTGCTTTTCAATCACCTGCCCACACAGAAACGCGTCATCTACACAAAGGTACAAATTATAATGGTGGATGGAAATAAATATTCAAATGTTTGGCTACACTTCATTTAAATTGATTCTGACGATAACACCAAAAGTGTTTTAGACAGCTTAGCTCAAAATTCATCTGCAGTTTCAGATCAGTGCGACTGCAGTTAAAGAGATCAGAGGGGATTGGGAAGTATTGTTTTTTTATTAAT